CCGCCATCTTTTTGCTGTCCCCCTAAACCATCCGCTAGAGCCTTTGTGGCCATAAGTCGTAGCAATTCTTCGCTCGTTTACAACATGGCCAATTTCAGCGAGAATGTTTACTCTCCGTTTTTAGTAATAGTCGTTTACAGCTTGCCCAACAGTTTGCCACCGCCAGTTTACCGTGCATGAGCAGATGGATAAATGGAAGCTACATACCCATTTCAAGAGTAAACAATTAGTTAACTGGGACTGGGACAGTACAGGGACCGGCTGCAGAGAAAGTGAACGACTATGAACACCGGCTGTCTGCTCTATTCCTTTTTCGTGATCAGTACGAAGGAATTGTGAAAGCAAAACATAATGAAATAACAAAAAATCAGTTCAGCTTTGAACCTGTAATTAATACAGAATTACAGATACATGAAAATCAGATAAGCCAAGTTTCATGAGACATCTCATTTGATAGCTAAAAAAAATCAGTGGTAACAAAAACAAGATAAACTCATGAAAACATGACAGTTTTCCCCTCTGACCCAATTGAGACGTTTTCCCATTTCTTTTCTGTACTTGTCTCTGCTGCTACTCTTCAATTATTATGCCAAAAGAGACGGTTACCGCGCTTAAGCAAAGCAATCAAGCATTGAAAGAGCAGGTTGACGCTCTGTCGAAGGAAGCTCTGAAAGAGACGTTTACCACCGAGGGAGTTGCTAACTCTGGCGATAACAGAAACATTAATTTCGAACATCGAAACTGTGAGAAGTCTACAATTTTTGAGCGACGATTAAGACTTGCCAGCTTGTATCTTTGACGTCTTGGTACAGCTTAAGCAAATAACCCACTGTCTAAATGTACTCTGTGATCATCAAGTGAAACCCGCTGGTAACGCCATTGATGAAGCCGAGAAGTACAGTTACCAGTTCAATGTCAAAATAACTGGTCTACCAGAGAAATATTCTAATGTTCTAATAATAGAAGGACAAGTTGTCCTTCTATTATTAGGAACAGTAAACGGCGAACTCAGACTCCTTCAAAATCGCTCAAAAAACCGCTTTTGAGGCAAAAGGACGACAATATACCACAGGTAAGGTAATTCAACGTTCATTTAATATTGATTTATAGACATACTTAGCGATATATCGTTATAGATCGTATTCACTGTCACGCAGCAAAAAATAAATTGGAAACCCTCCTGTGGAAGAAAATCAAGAAAATGAAATATTATAAAAGACTAATATATAAACAATTTGCCCATGTCTCAGATCTTTTTGGCGCACAGTTTCTGAGTTATTTGCCGAAACGTTTCACGCACCTTTGTAGAGCTTTGTATGGAGAAGCCATTTTGTTGTAACGTTTTGGTGCACCATGGTGCACCAATATGGCCACTGGAAATCAACAAAAACATCCGGAGTTCACTTTTTCTATAAAAGCTCTTTCTTTTTACTCAAGATTTAGCATACGTGCGCATAAACATATCTTTTAATACTTGAAATGGTTATACTGCTGAAAATCAAGAGAAGAGACTTTTTTTCAACGAGACAGCATTCATAACTTGGTGTTACGCACTAT